CTACTGAAAGTGGGTTTAGACAATTTTCGCCTGTTCCATTGAAAAGTACGCAAAAAATTACATTGAGGAACCTCCCGTAATCATGAAAAAAAGCTTTTTTGGGCTTGTTATAAAATTGAAACCATTTTTCAACCGAAAAATTGAGTCGGCTGTTTTGGCAGGAAAACGATGCACAATCGAAAAAACATTTTGCGCCAGAATGCACCTACTCTAGGGTACTTAAAATATGGGCTCCGATGATTTTTTGAAGTGGGGCCAAAATCGGCCCTTATCGGTACCCCTCCTTTGTCAAATCACATACTTGCCCACACAGTGCCTTAAGTTATTTTCAAAAATGCAGTAGCCAAGGAGCTTATTTGGTCGTAATACAGGCATCCTAAGGATAAAATTGTACAGAATTTACCTCTTAGTATCCTAGAGTCTTAAAGGTCCACGGACAGACATAAACCGAAACGGCAATCTCATGATAGGAGCATCTAGTTAATAAATGGAAGTTGATATTAATGTGCGAGCTTTATATTTCTTCTTATAAATAATACCTAGTGATCTAATCACATTCAGCCTTGGACGATCAGTGGTGCAGAACTGAACTCCGAACACCTGATATTTTATGTGCACTGTTTCACCGGAGTTATTACACGCTGGGAGCTGAGCTTAGAAAGCACTCGCTTGGTCGAAATGGAATACTTTAGTAACACAACTAGCAATAACTAACAATAAGTGGGTGCAAACATAACCTTATGACTTGATGTTAACAAACTCTCAACACGTGACTGACACAGAGGTTCCCTCTGGTGAACTGGTCTTCATTTTTAACAGAGAACTGAGATAAAGTATTCATCAACAGGGTGGAGATTATCCTCTCACACAAACAGTAAGAAAGAGGGGCGGCGATTTAAACAAAGCTTTCCATTCCGATTTAGGTTGGTGTATCCTCCCTTTTACTGGGGCTGATACGATAAGCCAAGGCTCAGAAGCAAAGTGTAGATCATGAAGATATACTTCTGGCTGGATAAAAACATAATTGTGAAAGTAATGATAATGGACATGTAGGTAAGAGGATCTCAATCAATCTGCTAGGGATACCAAAATTCTGCGGGCCGATTATTGAAAGCTTAAAGCAGCCCGATAGCACATCGAATTGTGATACATTGCAAGGTTAAGATAGGACTATGTCTTATCGTATTGTATCGACATAGTTTCAATGATCAGGCGGCTGGGCCATCCAAGTAGATGGGTGATACTTTTTGTTTGGCTTCTAGACAGAGGAGGAATGGATGCTCCTGTTTCACACAGGAATACATGCAGCAAAATGAAGCTCATTTTAATTTAACTGTCAAGTTAGGAAAATGGAATGAGTACATACCCTTCACGAAAGACCCTGTTAGACATTCACCGGCAGAATGGTGTTTCTAACAACTACTGACACAAGATCAAAGAGACTCGGAGAAAACCAAATTTGAGCTAATACTCATCGTCAATGATCTTTGATTTAGTGACATTAAGTTGACCTATGATTGAACTCTACTGAGAAGAAATGAAACTGCATCTCGCTTTCTCAGAAAGCTAAAGCCACAAACCAATCAACGCGTTTGATGAATTGCAGAATCCGAAACCTAACTGCATTTCTCGCCATCAACTGGTAAAGCGTTCTAATCATGCAGAAAACGTGGTCTTCATGCCATTAACAAGCTTTTGAGAAAACACAATCACTTCAGAGCGCATAGGCTGACAGCAGAATTTAAAGCGAATGAATTTTGGTCAGAGCGCAGAAGACAGTAGCATGTGGTAGGTAGAGTGCCTGTATAGCGAGAGTATGGACAGATGTGAAACTCCGAAAGTCCATCAGGCCTTCACCGATGCTTCTGCGAATAAAGTTAGGGCCCAGAAATGCAGCCAACCTATGAATTTCAATTATCCAGAACGATTTACTAATACTATTGTTACGAACCGTCGTTTATTAAGCTCGTGTTTGACTCAGTTTTTGCATAAATTTACTCAATTTTGCGGAAGAACGCTCATTTATGTACATTCTTGGCCATCTTGGTTAGAATTGGAACCTGCAGACTGGCAGTGAAATTTTGTGCGTTAGAAGTTGGTTAGAAGGGTGGCTGCACTTTTGGGCCCTAAGCCCTCCATGAAGCGATCTGTCCATACTCTCGCTATACAGGTACTCTAGTGGTAGGAAGGGTTGAGGCTCACATCCAGTAACTTTTAGAACTTAACTTATACCTAATAGGGTCCACTGAAATACTGAAAAACACTTCTCTTCAAGATGTGAAGACTAGCATTCGTGACATGAAAAAAAATAACGATGTAATTGAAACCATGGCACTTTTCTCCGATCCACCGTTACGCTTTCCGCTTGTCTATAAATGCACGAAATGGTATAGAAATTTGTTGGTGCTGTTTGATATGAGAATGCAAACAGGGATGTAAATGCTGCTTCCTTTTGATTATTTGGCACAATTTCGTTATTTCATCATCGTAAATTACATTTATCGCTTGAATGAGATACAGCCAGCTAGACATAACCTAACCTCACTCATCATAGGATCGTTACTTATCGTTCAATATAAAGAAATCACTTGAACATTTTAAGAGAAACCAATGAAGTAGTGTACCATAGAGTCCCTTTATACCCAGAGTTAAGACAACTCACTTTTGGTTGGGCCAGGGTTGGGCTGAAAGTGGCCTAAAAAAAAATCCAATTCTGATTGGTTCTCGCTCATGGAGGCCGAAACGAGTGCACCAAGATGGTGGTACCTCGAATGTGAACAAGAATAATGGAAATATTACCTAATTGTGGTTTATCAAGAGTGAATCGTTATTTCCATCGGTCCAAAATGAAAATAGATTAAGAAATCATTCACAAACCAATCTCATTTTCTTTTTAATTGATCAATTTGTTGATGTTGTTGTTTTTGTGTGACAGACATCGCAGGATTCCTGATCCATATTCCTCAATATCGTTTGTTTGGGTGCACTCGTTTCAGCCTCCATGGCCAGCCAAGGCCGGCTGCCAGTCAGCTGATAATCGACTTGTCTTAACTCTGGGTATAAAGGGACTCTAGTGTATCGGGCTCTAACTGAAAAGGAAATAGTAGTTAGGATCTAAAATGAATTGAACTTTTAAATTTAATCTATTCATCATTCACAACCTTATTGTAGTTGGAGGTTGGATGTTGGTGACGACGAGGGCAATTTCGTTCTCAAAACTCAGACGGACCTGAACAGAATCAACCAATGGCATTGAACCACAACTGGTTTTTTTCTACATTCAAAAATTATAACTAAAATTTTGAACGATGTAAGCCGATGCTGGATTGTCCGTGCAATAAAGCCCTATTTTATGTGGCAAAATGAAATCCTTATATCTTCAAGCAGTGCCCTCTATATATGTTCCATTACAATCTGTGGCCGTGTAAGCGAGAAATCCGTTGTCAAAGATGGTCATGACGGGCGGGTTCAGTCGGTTTAGTCGTATTTTCCGTAGATTCTCTTTTAGAACGCTAGGAATAAAAACCCGTCGATACGGTAACATGGCGATTCTTTAGGTACCCACTTTTATGGGTTTAAGGTTTACCGTTATCGCGGAGTTTGAGTAACTTTCTCAGGACCCTGGGTTCTTGAAATTCAAATTGCCCGCCAAAGTAAAAAGTAAAATTTTCTTCGTTTTGGGTCATTAAGTGCTTAAAACTTTTCGAAAACTCAATGGCTCTTAATGAAACTATTCCACTTCGTAGTCCTAATTGAGATGCGTCCGTAGACACCAAGATCGTAGGAATCCGTGCCGTCGTTTGGGCTGCAGTCGAATGGGAACCGAATCTACTTTCAGATCAAGGGAGGTACGTGTGTCTAAGAGTGTCGGTCACCAGTTTGCTATCGGGACTTTAACAGGACGTCATTTTTCTCGACCGAGGGTGGCTACCCCCACTTTTGATCGAGTAGGGGGTCGAAACGATCGCAAAGGCGGTATAATACGTATACGCGCCAAAAAACGAAGATATGACGACGAAGTCATGCAAACATCATTTGGAACAGCAATGTTATAGGGGACGTTCATGTTTTTGAAACGTCGTAATTCACGTGATAATTATTTTAAAAAGATTGTCACGAGAATGGCACCCCCTAGTCCAAACTCGAAGAACCATCAGACCGTATTTCATTTTGATCCTGTAAGTACGCAGTTTTACTTCTGCAGAAGGTCAAACGTTAGAAAGCCACTGAAAACGGAAGCCGAAGTTTTTGAAACGTTCTCTAGAGGATTAATTAAAGAACATCACTCACCAAGACTGCATTCTCTTTAAACTTAAGTACTGAATCATCACAACAAATTTCATTCGATCAGCTGCGATGTTTTTCTTCCGTTAGTGTGCAAACATTGAAAGTCACGTAAACCTTATTAATTACTCATGCTTCTATATCGTCGTATTGCACTCGGTATCGTATTCTAAAACGCTAGACATCTTAGAGGCACTTCTCTGACCCTTGCAAAATTATCATGCCAAAGTTCAGCATGATCTGTCGAGTAGTTTTCTGCCTCAGGTAGGGGAACATATAAATGTCATAGAAAACGGTAAAATGATTCTTTGTTTTATAATCTTATAAACGTCTTATCTCCGTTGATAACAAGTTTTGAAACATCATACCCCAAAAGACATGGCCCTTGAATCTTGAAGAATCATCATGCCTTTCAGCATGATCCTTCCGGTTGTTTTTTTTTTTGCCACAGGTGAGCAAAAGTTAAAAAGTAGCGAACATTGGCATTTCCCAATATTTTTTGTATAGTAAAAGCGTCGACCGACGTTTGTCGACTTATCATCACGCGTGTGTGCGGTTGCTGCTAAGGTACTTGAAGGCGTGCACCTTATCTTCGACTTGGTTCTGTTGTGGTTCTTTTCCTCATATTTTCAGCTTGGCGTGGAGGTCTGCCGCTCTCCGTGATGTGTTCCATTTGTCCGATGTATTCTAATTATCCGAAACTGCTTTTGTTCCAGAAACTCACCATGGACAAAGAAACAAAAACAGTATTGTTGAGCTGATATTGTCCTAATGACAACTGCCAAAGATTCAGATAACAATAGTCGATAGTTTATCATTGTTAATCAAAAGGTAAGGCTGAATTTAATCCTCTCTTCAAAAATCCCATACACGACCAGCGCCGAAAAAGTCTGCGATTTGGGATTAGGCATATTATTAATCACTAGTAGTGCTTCGCATGTAGAAACCTATAGGGACTGAATGACAGAAAAAATCTCCAGGAAATCTAAGCAAAGCTAAATTCCATTTAAGTATATACGGCTCCTTCCTCCCTCTTCCCTTCAGAATGGACAGGGAATGATCTGATTTTGAAAGTTTTCTAACTACGTTTTATACGTTACGCCAAGAAACTACACTTTCAAAATTAGGGCAACGTTCTAACTTTCCAAAAGGAGCCAATGAGTCTTCTAGACGATGAAGAGATCTCTTCGGGTTGATTCCCGCAGACTACGACGACTTGAAATAACTAGAAATGAAAAGTTCACAGATGCTTTGATGCTTGATTTTTGTAGGTTACCTGAAAATAATAAGATCCCTCCAAATAGCATCCTTTTACGTTCAATAGGTATTGACAATAGACATGTAAGGGTTCCTTTCCGTTAAGCCCCTCGCGGGTGGGAGATATCACTGGCAGGGAATAGTCGATGTGAAGCGGACGCTTCGCTTTGCGGCGCAGGTTTGTCGTTTTTGTTAGCCGATCGCGCGGCGCGGGCGACACCGACATGAAGCGGGCGCATCGCTTTGCGGCGCGGGTTCGTCGTTCTCGTTGAGCGTCCAGCCCACCTTCAAACTAGGGGCTTCAAAGAGGGTCATTGATAGAACTGTGGATTGTTGCCTTTCAAAGATCGTCGGTCCAACGATTTTTGAAGGTGACCGATGTGTTCGGGATACATCACAAATCAGATCTTGAAATTCTCAAGGAATCCCGTGTAGAAATGGCTGAGAAATATAAAAATTGATGCCAGTTTGAGAGCCCCAGTTTGAAAGTGGGCTGGACGCTTTGAAATTTTCAAGGAATTCCTTGCAGGAAAATGGCTGAGAAATAGAAGAATGAGCCAGTTATTGGCTTAGTTGACTCGGTAGACACTCTACCTCTAGAATCTGAAGAATTTTTGCTTTTGACTGTTCAATGAATTTGAACTCGTTCCGGTAAACCGTGCTGGGAGAATGTTACAAACAAATTCGACGAAATCGCACGATGTAACCACTTTGGAGGGGAAAAGGGGGCATTTTAAAAGTGGCGCGGTAAATTTAGTTATTTTTCTCGTGAAGTACTCTAAAAACTGTGCTACTCCAGGAAATTTCAAAGCCGTAGCAATAATTTAAAGGTAGAAACAAGCGGGAAAGCTCTAATACGTGGGTATTAGAGAAGCGCTCAGCGGTGAGCGCAATTTTAATGAGTCCCAGATTTAATTTACTACCTATTAACTGAGTATGTTAAAATTTGCAATAATTAAAACATCTAAAATTGTGCTTCCTCCCCCCCCCCAAAAAAAAAAATCCAAGATCCATAAGAAAAATAATGATCCATTACCTAAGTACCGAAATATTAATACATAAAAAATCCTCGATTTCTCATAAAAACAGAGAAAACTATTACGGCTCCAAAAAA